GGAGAAATCAGCCCACCTAATGCCCACTTGGAGTCCTGGTGCGGCACTGTGGGTTAATGTGTCAGACTGCAAAATGGTTTGAACTGCAAGATCGGCAGTTCAAGCTCACCAGCTGCTCCTTGGAAACCCCATACAGGGTCACTATAGGTTGGAATCGACTGGACGACACTTAACAACAACAATGCCCACTTAAAGGATGTCCTACCACAAACACCTCTGTAAGTCCCATAAAGTCATTATGCCCCAAATAAAACCCACTGCTTTGGAGTTGCTTCTGATGCACAGTCACCCTCAAAGACAGAGTAGAACTGCCTTGGGGGTTTTCAAAACTGTCACATCTTTCTCTTGCAGAGCAGCTGGTGGGGTCTAACCGCCTTCCTTTTGATTTGCAGCGATTTGCAGCCGACTATTTCACTGTTGTGCTAATTCCTGCCACTGTGTGTGGCAGCCTCTGCCAGGAAGCTCCAGGCCTCATCTGGCCGCTGCACTTAAGCTCTGAAAAGACAGGGTTAATAGAGAAAAAGATCCAAGACCATACATCTATGGGCTGTGTTAAAACAGGCAGTCGCTCCTCTTAAGCTGGAAATGAAGAAATCAAGGAAGCCCTCTTCTGCACAGCGGGTAGTAAACCTATGGGATGCATTCTCCTCACAACTGAGATGGGATAAAAATAGGAAAAGGGCCACTCAGGGATTTGCGAAGCTAATGAATAGTAAGTAGATAACAGGGCTTTTAAGGACTCTGCTGCTTTCCTGGGGCTCTCCATCAAAAATTCATCTCTTCTCAAAGCTTTCAACAGCCTCGTTATACTCTTACATCTACTGTAATTCACTGATTCTAAGACACACCTCTGTTCATGTTTGAACATCTCTGATGTCGGCTTTGTCTCATCATCGAGGGGGGTAACATCTTGGAATTGGCAGCCCTTTTCTGGTTGGCAGTTATAAACTAATGGGATGTTTACCATTGCTGGCGTTTTAGATGTGGTGAACACTAGTATTTATTTATCTTCAGCTTTCTTCCCTTTCTCAGTCCCAGTCCTGCCCTCCCCCATCCCACTGGATATTCATCAGCACTTGCGACTCAGCACGTTTAGAAATGAAACCATGTCTGCATGTTTCTCACAAAATGCCCCCTCCTGTTTCTGACTTCTGTGTTCTGAGTGGCCTGTCTGCTTTCCCCCTCAGCCCCTGTGATGTGGAAAGTTGTTGTTAGGTGCTGTCGTGACCCACATGTGACAGAGTAGAGCTGCCCTGTGGGGTTTTCCAGTTTGTACTCTTGAACTAAGGAGTTATGGTAACATACTGGTTACGAGTCGGGCTGCTAATCTCACGGTCCGCAGTTTGAAACTACCAGCCAACCATTCCGCAGGAGAAAGATGAGGCTTTCTGCTTCTGTAAAGATTTACAGCCTCAGAAACCCTATACAGGGTCGCTATGAGTTGGAACCGACTCCATGGCACATGACCACCACCCCCACTCTTGAACTGCTTGCACCCCCAGGGCTCTGAACCAGTATTTATGGGTGTTCCACGTGCTTGTTCTAACCCTGTGTGTTCATTTATTCCCCATCCTCACAAGGGTGGTACATAGATGATTCCTGTTTTGTATGTGAAGTGGAGACCCTCGCCCGGATTGGCAGGGTTAATAGGTGGCAGAGCCAGGCTGTGCACTGGGCAGCCTGCTTGGATGTCTGTACCAGGACTGAGATCCCAGCTGCTTTCAGGAAGCCCATTGGAGTCTAGGTTGTTTTTATTCATCCAGTAAATGCCGTCTGCATTTTCACTGCTGGTTCAGGTGCTCTTGCCTTGTGACTTCCCACAGCTGCTGCAGGGCTGCTCCTTGGTCCCATTACCGCCACCCTCCTCCGTGTTCATCCTGCAGACCGCCTGCAGCACCTCTCCTGGCTCCACGGCCCTGCTTGAGAACATGCGTCTCAAAACAACTGTGCTGAGATACCATTCACATACCAAGAAACTCACCTGAAGTGCCCAATTCTGTGGGATTTAGTAGCTCTGCAGACTTGAGTTGCAGCCATCCACAGTCACTTTTAGAGTGTTGTCATCAGCCCACAGAGAAGCCCAGCAGCAGATGGTTAACTGTGCTTGACTGCTAACTGTCACCTTAGCCAGCACCCCGGGTCCCCTCACCACTACAACTAGTCTGCTTTCTGTCTCTCTGGATTTACCTATTCTGGACGTTTCATATAAATGTCATCCTCTTTTCACTCAGCATGTTTTCAGGCGTGTTTTAAGCCACGTTGTGGCAGGCGTCTGTGCTTTTTATTATCAGAGATTAGTCTATTATATGGCGGTCTCACACTTAGTGTGTCCTTGGATCATCAGGTGATAGACATTGGAGTTGTTTGTACCTTGGGCCTTACATGCATCAGTGAAGCCGTGAACATTCATGTAGTTGTGTTTATTCTGCCCCTAGGTATATTCTCTCCAGTGTGTACCTGGAAGTGGTACTGCTGGGTCCTGTGGGAACTCTGTGTCTACCTGGTTAAGTCCAGGAACTTTTAGCTCTCAAGGTCCTTCCCATCTGCTTTGGATTTCCGATGCTCTGAGTCATAAACTGGCTGCTTCTGTTAGGTGTGGCTCCCCTCAGCCATCTGAACCCAGGAGCACCCCACGCTTGCTTGCTTCTGATCTCTGGCTCAAGTTGTTTGTTTGGAGAGTGAACATATTTACATATTCAGCATATTTCCATATTCAACACATTTACATATTCGGCCCCTACAAATAGTTCTTGGAGCCACACACTGTCTTTTTTAAGATCTGAATTAGGTACTCATTTAAAAATCTCGTACACATTAATCCTCACTTCTACCTTCTGAGAAATGGGAAGATTGAACCACATTTCTATTCAGCACCACCAGACTGCAGCTGAGGGATTTAACTGTGGTACTGCCCCAGTGCTCCTGAGACTTTCTTTGTCTCTGGTCAATTTTGGAGTCCCTGACCTTTGATGTAGACTCTTGTCAGCATCTGGAGAAAAACCCAGCTCAGCTTGCTCTCCCACCACGCGACTTCATACCTACAAGCAGTGCCATCCAGCAACACACCAGGTTTAACATGCTGATAACTCGTTGTTAAATGCTGGTGAGTTGGTTCCAACTTATAGCAACCCTGTATAGGGTTTCCCAAGAGCACCTGGTGGATTTGAACCACCGACCTTGTTGTTAGCAGTCTGGTGCTTATTCTACAACAGCATACCAGGTGGATTGTAGCAGTTTAAATGGGAATAAACCAGTGTCGAGTGGATTCAAACTCATGGGACTCACTGTGAGTAGGGAGTGCCCTGCAGGGTGCTGAATGGCTAGTTTTTCAGAAGTCGCCCTGAATGGCTAGTTTTTCAGAAGTCGCCCACCCAGCCTTGCATCTGAGATGCCTCCGGGTAGACCCAGACTCCAATCCTTCAGTTAGCAGTCAAGCATGTTAGCTCTCCGTACCACCCAAGTCATCTTCAGCTCAGGATGACCTGATGTGTAACAGAGAGAAACTGTCTGGTCCTGCGCCTTCTTCATGGGCTTTAATATATTTGAGCCCATTGTCATGTGGCCATTGTGACAATTGCTGACCCTGTACTTTACCAAATGTGATTCTGTTTTCTAGGGATTGGCCTTTCCTGTTGCCATGTCCAATGGAAGCAAGACCAAGTTTCTACTAGGGAGGCATGTGGCCCTGGTGTAAGAATTGTAGGCTCTGGGCCAACTGCTTGGGTTTTCATCTTCTTTTTACCCCTTTACTAGCTGTGTGACCTGGGGCAAGTTATCTAACTTCTCTGAACCTCAATTTCCTTATGTTTTAAAATGGAGGTAATAACTGTTAGGGTTCAGTGCTGCCGCGTTGGTTCCACCTCATAGTGACATCTTGTACAACAGAACCAAACACTGTTCCTGCACCGTCTGCACAATTGTGTTTGAGCCCATTGTTACAGCCCCTGTGTCAGTCCATCTCATTGGGGGTCTTCCTCTCTTCCGCTGACCCTCCACTTTATCAAGCTTGATGCCCTTCTCCAGGGACTGGTTCCTTCTGGTAACATGTCTGAAGTATGTGAGACCAAGTCTCAGCATCCTCACTTCTAAGAAACATTCTGACTGTATTTCCTGGAAGACAGATTTGTTTATTCTTCTTGCAGGGTATGGTATATTCAATATTCCTTACCCACACCACAATTCAAATAAATCAGTTTTTCTTCAGCCTTCTTTATTCATTGTCTAACTGTCGCATATAAGGTGATTAAAAATACCATGGCTTGGGTCAGGTGCACTCTAGTCCTCAAAGTGACATTTTTCTTCTTTAATGCTTTCAAGAGGTCTTTTGCAGTAGATTTTCCCAATGCAATATTTTGTTTGATTTTCTGACTGCTGCTTCCATGAGTGTTGATTCTGGATCCAAGTAAATGGAATTCTTGACAACTTCCATCTTTTTCCTGTTTTATCTTGATGTTGCTTATCTTTGATCTTCATCAGGAAGTGCTTCAAGTCCTCTCTGCATGTTGCCGGTTGTTAATAAGTCTTTCTCCAATCCTGATGCTATCTTCTCCACCCCCACCCCCCACCCTCAGGTCTCAGAGGGGCTGCCTTGATAAGTAACCCCCACTCCCCACTATTAGTCATTTGCTTACTTTTTCCTTCCCTCCCTTCAGTGTCAGCTGAAGCAGGGACCTCACCTGTCCCTTCAGCAGAAATGGACTTAGAAGCCAAGTGATTGGCCAAGTTCACACAGCAGGTAGTGGCAAGCAGAGTCCAGCGTGAGCCCTGAGTGTCATGCTGTGACCTCTTACAGTGACCAGTGCCAGGTGGAGCTGTCCATGAAGGGTCGCTGTGGGCGCTCTGACCCACCACCCCACACAGGTCCTTGAAGGTCCCCTCAGTGCAGCTCAGAGGCCTCCTTCTCTCCTCAGCTGGTGGAGGCCTGCTCTTGGCCCTGGGTGTGGAGTGAGGGCCTTGGTGCATGTGGGAAACCTACACAACTGCTCTCTCTTCCTGCCCAGGCCGCACCAGTTTCTACGAGGAGTATGGCGTCATCCGTGACGTCCTGCAGAACCACTTGACCGAGATCCTCACCCTGGTGGCCATGGAGCTGCCCCTCAACATCAGTGACACGGGGGCCGTGCTGCAGCACAAGCTGCAGACCTTCCAGGCTCTGCGGGGCCTGCAGAGAGGCAGCGCTGTGGTGGGCCAGTACCAGGCTTACAGCGAGCAGGTGCGCAGGGAGCTGCAGAAGCCAGCCAACTTCCAGAGTCTGACTCCAACCTTTGCAGGTATGCACCTTTGCAGGAGCCCTGAGTTTGGGTGGGAAGGGACCCGAGGCAGGGATTTCTATAAGGGGCTTAGTGGTCAGTGTGAGATGCCTTTCCTAACGTGTGTCTGGTTTCTAACAGCTAGAGACACTGGGTTCCCTGCTGGCTTCTCAGGGTGAGGGGCATTCCAATGGTGTGTCCACATCAGCCTCCGTTAGTCAGAATCACAGATACTCTCTGGGGCTGGCCGTTACGCTCCATTGGGCAGACCACAGGCTGGCCAGGCAGAAGGTGCCAGAACATCAGGAGAGGCCCAAGGGGAGGCTATAACAGTAGCGATTTACAGAGCATACACTGTACCAAACACTGCCACACATTATCTCAGGTAATCACATGCACACAGAGCTACCGTTGTATCCCATTTTGTAGATGAGGAAAAGTGAGGTTCAGTGAAGTTATGAAAATGTGTCACAGTTGTGCACTGAGGCCATGAGACAGCAGGTTTGGCAGGTGGATCTAGAGTGCGTTCCGAGGCTGGCAGAACCACCCTGCTTCTGCTTCTTTACCCTGCAGTCTGTGGGCCCCCCATTAATATCTCTTGGTACCTACATGCAGCTTGGGCACATGCACATCCTAAGTGCTCCACAGACAGGAGGGAACCCCCACCCCCACCCCATCTCTGTAGGATCGCTTAACCTGCTTCCATGATGAGACTTCTCCTTTAGAGCGTCCAGACTGGTGATGCTCAGCCCAGCCCTGTCTCTGTGCGCTGTGGACTGGGACTTTCTGAGGTTCCTTGAGGGAGGTGGGTGTCAGAGTGATATGAAGGCACAGATAGGAAGAAGCTTCTATAGAATGGGGGTGGGGTGGAGGTGGTAAAAGGTAAAGGGATGAGTAGAGAGCACACCAGTTGCTGTTGAGTAAATTCTGGCTCATGACAACCCAGTGTCTGTCAGAGAAGAACTCTGCTCCACAGGGTTTTTAGTAGCTGATTTTTTGGATGTGGATTGCCATACCTTTCCTCTGAGGCTTGTCCAGGTGGACTTTAGCTCTTAACTTTTAGTTAGCGGCCAAACGCATTAACTGTTTGCATCTGAGGGACTCTGAGTACAGGGCAAGGGACTCTCAGATGGCAGTGGGGTACCCAGAGGAGGGACTCAGGGGCACAGAGAAAGGCAGTAAGTACCCTTGTTTTCTGTACCCTCAGGTGTCCTCGTTCATATTGACAACCTTCGTTGGGAAGGTGTTCCTTTCATCCTGATGTCCGGCAAAGCTTTGGATGAGAGAGTTAGCTATGTGCGGGTCCTGTTCAAGAACCAGGCGTACTGTGTCCAGAGTGGGAAGCACTGGGCCACGGGCCAGAGCCAGTGCCTGCCCCGGCAGGTCATCTTCTACATTGGGCATGGTGACTTGGGCAGCCCTGCTGTGCTGGTCAGCCGGAATCTGCCCAGGCTGGCACTGCCTGCTGACGGCTGGAAGGAGGTGGAAGCCCGGCCTGGACTCCGCCTCTTCGGCCATCCTCTGTCCGATTTCTACACTTACAGCCCTGTGAGGGAGCGGGACGCCTACTCCACCCTCATCTCACACATCTTCCACGGCCGCAAGGACTCCTTCATCACCACGGAGAACCTGCTGGCCTCCTGGTACTTCTGGACGCCTCTGCTGGACAGTCTGGCCCTTGAGGTCCCACGCCCCTATCCGGGAGGGGCCGAGAGTGGACAATTGTTGGACTTTGGGTTCAGTGGCGGTCAGCTCTCCTTTTCCCAGCAGCAGCTGGAGCAGCTGGTGTCTAGGCCTGGCACAGCCCCGATGCCCAGTGACTTCCGGGTCCTCAGGGCCACATACCGCGAGAACCCACTGGTCCTGTCTTGGTCTGCAGAGCTGATCGCTAAGCTGGCCAGCGACATTGAAGTCTTGGCCCTGCGAGCAGTGCAGCGCTTTGGCAAGTTCCACCTTGCGCTCTCCGGTGGCTCAAGCCCCGTGGCGCTGTTCCAGCAGCTGGCCCTGCAGCACTTTGGCTTCCCCTGGGCCCACACGCATCTGTGGCTGGTGGACGAGCGCTGTGTCCCACCCACAGACTCAGAGTCCAACTTCCAGAGCCTGCAGGACCACCTGCTACAGCACATCCGCGTCCCCTACTTCAACCTCCACCCCATGCCTGTGTCCCTGCACCAGCGGCTCTGCGCCGTGGAAGACCAGGGCACTCAGCTCTACGCCCAGGAGATCACTGCCCAGGTGGCCAACAGAAGCTTTGATCTGGTGCTGCTGGGCATGGGCAATGATGGGCACACGGCCTCACTCTTCCCCCAGTCGCCCACTGGCCTGGATGGTGAGCAGATGGTTGTGTTGACCACGAGCCCCACTGGACCACACCAGCGCATGAGCCTCAGTCTGCCCCTCATCAACCGGGCCAAGAAGGTTGCTGTCCTGGTCATCGGCAGGATGAAGCACGAAATCGCCATGCTGGTGAGCCGTGTGGGTCATGAGCCCAAGAAGTGGCCCATCTCCGGTGTCCTGCCAACTTCAGGCCAGATGGTGTGGTACATGGACTATGAGGCGTTTCTGGGGTGATGGCATGTGTGCCCTCTGTTGCTGACATCTGAGCCTGCTCTCCCCTGTGCTCCTCCCTCCCTTGCAGACACCTACCCCCTCGACTGCCCCCTGTATCTGGTGCCCAGAGCCAGATCCTCAAAGAGAGAAGGATCAGGCCCGATCCTAATCTCTTTGATCATCAGTGCCTGATAGTTGTGGTGGGGAGACCCGGAAAAAAGGATCAAATGGAATCCCTGCTCCTGGAAAGTTTCAAATCCAGTTTGGGAGAGCAAACCTTACAAAATGACTTATAACTGCCAGTTACACATTAACAGCCACCAGCACAAAACAAGGTCTTATGAAAGTCTGAGGGGCCAAGGATAATCAGGGAGTACTCCCTGGAGGACTAGCTCCTGTGAAACAGAAGAACACAAGGTGGGAAAGGAGGGAGCTCAGCCTCCGCGCCTCAGCTGCCCAGCCCTGCTCCCCCTGTTTCCTTTCCTGGTGACTGCCTCTACCTGCTCAGTCTCTCTGGACCCCTCTCTCCATCCGGACTGTGGAGGTCTGCCTAGTCCCCTCCTTGCTGTCCTTTGGAAACAGCACAGAGACTCTCTGTCTGTGACCACTCCTCACTTCAGGAAGACAGATGAAGGCTGAAAACAGCTCCACAGCTCTAGATGCTTGATGTTGCAGAGCTTCCAGCCAGGCTAAAGCTGTGGTTTGGAGCACCCTTTCTGTGTGGGGTTCCAACTCTTTCAGGGAGGATCCCTGCTCTCCTCCCTAACACTTTCCTCTGGCCAGACTCTGGGAGACACACTAGATGCAGGTGGTGGGGCAATTCTAGGGACACCCCTCTCCCCCCTTTAAGAGGACCATTTCCATCTCAGGGGCCTGCCAGGTAGATGTTTCGGGGCTTAGCCTCTCTTCCCAGGAAGTTCACTGAACCCACTTGTATCCTGATGGTGGTGTGAAGGGACGCTAAGCCCTGAGCCAACTCAGATTGTGTGTGGGGGAAGGGCAGGGGGGCTGCAGCTCACAGATACCTGGTACCCTGTTTTCAACTCCTTTGTGGCCAACTCTTCTCAACTCTACCTCTCAGCGGTGACATCTGAGCCAGTCCACCTCTTGATATTGGCCCCATCTACTGCCGCCCCTGACACCACTAGTGCACTCTTGCTTTAGGAGGCAATTAGTATGTGCAGGTGGCTTCTGGTAGATGCAGGTTGAGGGCTGTGCTCTGGAGCCATGAGCCAGCCGTGCCTGCTTTTCTGAAAGCTCTAAGGGGGGGTCTCTGAAATCTTAACAAAACCCTAAATGTCTTGGGATACAGTTACTTTTTATTTCAACTACCCACATAGTGTGGTCCCCTCTTAGGTTTTGAATACTGTGCAGGAATACGCACTTTCTGTGGCTCTAGTCCCCTGTTGAAGGAGCTCTGGTAGCGTAGCGGTTACGAATCAGGCTGCGAACCGCAAGGTCAGAAGTTCGAGACTGCCAGCTGTACTGCGGGAGAAAGATGAAGCTTCCGCTCCTGTAAAGATTTACAGCCTCAGAAACCCTGTACCAGGGTCACTATGGGTCAGAACCGACTCCATGGCACACAGCCACAGTCCCATGTTGAGTTACAGAATGCATCAGGCAAATGTACACTTTGTGTGCCCCACAGAATTTGAGAGGAAAGGACTCCCAAATCTCTCTCTGATTTTTGACTGTTTATACTTCCTACAAGAATATGGATGGAAAAGAAGGTCCTGCTTCCATTTGAGATGTTTGCATGTGAAAGGTATGAGCCAGGGACTCTTATATGAAAGGCACTCTTGTTCAAATTCTGCTTACTCTGGCCTCCAGTGACCAGTCCAAACAGAACACCTCTCTTTATACCAAGAGAGCAGACCTCGCTAGGATAGAACCAGAGTGTCTAAACCTGAGAATCCTCCTCCCTGTTTGTGGTCGGCATTTGAACTTACTTCACCTCTCACCATGAACACAGATGATTGCTGCGCCAGTTTCCACCTCTGGCCACATGGGGGCACTCTCACACCATTCCTGACCAGTTGACTGAGTGCCGTTAGGGTATTTGTGTTTCTGTTTTCCTCCCTGGGTCCTTGGCCCCAAGCACGTCCCTATCTGTTCTTCTTCCTCTGTGCTTGAAACATCAGACCGAAGGGACTTCATGGGCCCAGGCCTCACTGCAGGGCAAGGGTGAGCAAGCTCTTGATGTCACCATTTAGGAATCACGGTGAGTCATGTTGGGTCTAAGTGGATGTCCTGTTCTTACTGAGGAGAGTGACTGTCTCAAAGTGTGCCCTTTATCTGAGGGGAGTGTGGGGATGGGGTGAGGACAAGGGGTGCCAAAGGCTTCCTTTCAGAATCTGGTGTTTTAGAAAACTCACAGGAAGAAGTCCCAAGTGGGAGACATTGTCAGTGTTCCCCTGCTCCCTTCTAGAAAGGAGGGAGGGCCCTCAGAACAGGGCTGGGTTCAAACTTAGGAACAGGATACCAACAGGCTACTCACGTTACACCAGGAGGCTGTGTTCCCATTGGTGTGTAAATCTGTGTCTCAAACAAAAGTTTCTTAAAGGGCTTTTTACCCTCAGAACCTGGGCTCTCCTGTTTCCCATTTAGAGAAGGAAAGAAAATATAATCCATTCAACTGAGTTGGTATGTAGTTTGAGCAGTGCTGCTCTCAACAGTTAAGTGCCCGGCTGCTAACCAAGACAGATCGGTGGTTCAAACCCAGCCTGATGATTTGTTTCCGTAAAAATGACTAAAACCCAAACACATTGCTATGGAGTTGATTCTGACTCAGCAACCCTGTGGGGACAGAGTAGGACTGTCCCCACAGGACTCCCAAGGCCACAAATCCTTCCGGAATTAGATTTCTCCCTTAAAGTGACTGGTGGGTTCAAATCTCTGATCTTTCAGTTAGCAGCTGAGCACTTTAACCATTGGGCCACCAGGATTCCTTCCATAAAGATTGCATACTAGAAAACCCTTTGTCTACTGTTAAGTGCCGTCGGGTCAGTTCGGACTCAGTGACCCTGTATAGGGTTTCTGAGGAGCAGCTGGTAGGTTTGAACCACAGACCTTATGATTTGACTTGATGGCATTCAACAAGAACAATCAGCTGATGCTCAGGCCCCCAGTGGAAGACCCTGAGCCTTTGGTTCCTACCTGTGACTCTCACCCAAGGCTCCTCCTACCAGGCTGTGCAGGGCCGCTCAGTGGGGAGGGGTCTCAGAGCTGGAGCCTCTCAGTTCCCAATGCTGCTAGCTCGGCACCAGTTCACCCACGGGAGTGGAGGCTAGGTAGATGACGAAGGACCTGTCATCAGGGACCTGAAACACACCTGAGTGTGCTTTTATAGAGGGGCCAGTAGGGGCCAGCCTCAATACCAAACCTTTCATGTGACACCATCTTTTTTACACTTGTGGGGAGGTGGGTTCCTTTCTGAGGAGTTTGAAACTGAAGCTTGGATCTACTGACCAGTAAGGAGCCACACTTAGCAGGCAGGTCCTGGGGAGTAGGAGCTGCCCTAGGTCTTCAGTGCACAACCAGGAGAGGCTTCCTGTGAGGAGCCGCGTGCGTGCACATTTGTGTCTCTGCGTGGTAGAAGTCTCTTTGGGGAACCTCGTCAGTTAATGAGTATCTCGAGTACCAGAAGCAGTGCTATTCCTTGTGAGGAAAGAATCAGGGACTCTCCAGGTTGCTGTAGGCTGCCTTTTGGGTTGAATATAGGGACAGATGTTCCCACTGTCTGCAAGTTAAAGCACCCTCATCCTGTTGCTTTTCCCATTGGCTTCTCATTTCTCTAGACTTGTAACACTTTATTCCTGTTCTCCAAATTAACAGCACAATTGTATTTCACAAACTCAGCATGGTTGGGAATATTCCCTCAAGTGTTTTCATTCCCAAACCCTCAGGGCTGGGACTGATCCCTATTCTGGGTCTACTTCTTACCTCATTTGCTTTTCTTCTTTCTAGTCCTTAACATGGGGGGGTGCCGGTGGAACAGCCCAGGGAGCATGCTGGGTGGTTATGATGCAAAGCAGAGCTTCTGTAAATCCTGGAGAGGTTATTTCCTAGAATCTAGTGTGATAGGAAAAAGCAAAGTTTCTTTCTGAAAATATCTGCAGCTTCATATAGCAGCCCGTTTGTCACAGCTGTACCCAGCTTTTGCCGTGAGCATGCAGACGTCAGTCCAGTGGTGGAGAGACTGCTGGCAGAGACTCAAGGTTAGGAATGGTCACAGGGCAGGCCACTGGTGAAAAGACCTTCAGGGGGAGAGAAGATGCTGCCTCTACAGTCACCAGGACTGTGGCCCATGGAGACCACCCACCCTGGCCAAGCCCCCTGCAGAGCCGAAGAACCTGTCTGTTCAGTTGCTTCCTTGATTGCGTTGTGGCTCTGTGCTTAGTGGCACAGGTACTGAGATGCCAGTTACTTCATTCAAGTGATGTTTGTTCAAGGAGAAGGTGGTTCCTTCTGCTTCATCTGAGGGGACAACTGAGTGGCCTGCTCACTCTAGCGTTGTATTGTCAATACCACTGGTCAGTGCTGCTTGGCCCAGGCCTGTAGTCCCTGAACTGCTTCCCTTAGCCCGTTCATAGCCCTGCCTCTACTCCTATATACCCAGCTCCTGCCAAGGGCTGTGGAGACACTAGCCTGTGCTCTGTGTTCCTTTTGCTGCAGTGTGTGGAGCCACCGTAGAATGTGCACGTCGCACTTCCTGCCCTTCATATTCAGGAGGGGACTCCTGCCTCCTCACGTGCTTCAGGCTTCCCAACTTTAAAAGCATGTATTCCCAGGATTAGGCAAGTGGGAGCCCAAGTCAGCCTCGGTTCCTGGCAGCCCTGCGGGAGCAGATGTCCTCCAAGCACATGCATAGGCTCAACTTCCTCCGAATCTCACCCATCCTCTCCAAACAGCTCAGGGTGCATGAGAGGAACCAGGATTCCTCAGCTCACTGCCAAGCAAGGTGCAAACCTCTGATGCTGTCACCAGCACAAGATAGAAACAGCAAGAGATCTGGGGCTGCG